CATATATATTTTTATATAAATATATATATTTAACTTTTTAATAGAATAACTGGTGATCCTGGACCTCCCTGGATGGATGCAGAGATTGGATAATCTGTGTTTTTTAAACAACTTTGTTGAGATATGATTCATATACCATAAAATTTGACCTTTCAAAGCATACAATTCAGTGGTTTTTAGCATGTTTGCCAAGTTGAGCAACCATCATCTCTATCTAATTGCAGACTATTTTCACCAACGCAAAAGGAAACCCTGTCCCCATTAGCAGGCCCTCCCCATTCCTCTCTCCCCTTTCCCCAGCCATAGGCAACCACAGATCTATTCTCTATCTGTGTGGATTTGTGTGTTCTGGATATTTTATATAAATGGAATCTTATGATCATATATACATTTATTTATTTAATTTTTTAAACCATTTCACCTTTATTCTGTTAAGTGAGGTTCCAAACAGACTTTACTTTCCAAACTGTTTACCTGTTGTCCCAGCATCACTTCTCTGTCCCTTTCACCTTCTTTGGTGATTGGTGACATGTTCCAGTCTTTGCTATCAGCTTTGTTTCTGGGCCCTCAATTCTGCCTCATTGATGTTTCTGTTCAGGATCCCTATAGGATGTGAAGTCAGATGGGAGCTGATCTAAATCCCAGATCTCATATGTTAGCTGTGACATCCATTTATTAATTTATCCTACAAATATTTACTGAATTCTGTGCCAAGTCTTTTTTTTTTTTTTTTTTTTTTTTGGACAGGGTCTCTATTGCCCAGGCTGGAGTGCTGGAATGAAGTAACATGATCACAGCTCACTGTAGCCCCAACCTCCTGGGCTCGAGCCATCCTCCTGCTCAGTCTCCCAAGTAGCTGGGACCACAGGCGTGTGCCACCACAGCCGCCTAACTTTTGTATTTTTTTGTAGAGACAGGATTTTGTCAAGTTGCCTAGGCTGGTCTCCAACTGCTGGGCTCAATCTATCCACCCACCTTGGCCTCCCGAAGTGTTGGGATTACAGGCGTGAGTTACCACGCCCCAGCCCAAGTCTTATCCTAGGCACTGGGGACCCAAGAAATGCAGATTTGGTCCCTGTTTTAAGCAGAGGGACCAACACAATCTGGCAGGGAAAGTTCCTATGGATAAAAATACAGACATAAACAGCAGCGGTGAGAGTGAGGCACTTTGTATATCTTTTCTTTTTATATCTTAATCTCATAACTGGCCTCAAAGCCCCATTTTCCAGTTGAAAAAACTGAGGTTCAAAGCAGTCAGCTAACTTTCCTATAGCAAATTCGTTGCGAGTGGCACACCAGGCTTGGTAAGTGGTAAATCAGGCCGATGTCAAGCCCTTGGGATTAAGCCCTCTGCTATATCAAGGAGAAAGGGCTATGGAGGGCCAGCGAGTGAGAGGCAGGCCGGGAGAAAAGAAGAACAGCCGGTCCAAGGTCTCAGAGCAGGTTCGTTTCTGGGGAAAGGCCCCTATCTCTGCTTCCCCCAGGCAGAGGAAGACTTGGGCCCTTTGAAAGGAAAATAAAACCTCGGGATCCCCAAATCACTAAGCCAAGGGAAAAATCAAGCTGGGAACTATGTCAGGCAAACCTACCTCCCATTTTATTCCTAAATAGCTACATACCTCCCTCACAAACTGCCCACAAGAAAATTCGTTGTGGGCCTCAAGATCTTTATCCTAAAAGAGTTCTGCTGAATTTCACTCTGGCAGTGTAAACTAATAACTGGTCTTCAGGGGTGGAGACAGAAAGTCAT